TTCTGAAGGAGAACAGTAGTGTTCACATCTGTGACAACGCCTGGCTATTTTTTGGTTGCAGCCTGTTGTTTTTTGGGGGCCTGGGCTGGATTTGAACCCACCACCCTGGGTGTATGAGGCTGGCGCCTTAGCCACTTGAGCCACAGGCGCCGAGCCGAGAGTTATTTCAATGTCTTACTAACTAGTCATTCTTCTGAGCCATCTCATTTGTTAGTTAGCAGCACTTGCATAAGTATGGGGAATTCCATTAGTGTTCAAGATGACTTGCAGAACAATACACATTTGGGGGTGAGGTGGGGATAGAATACAAAAATATTGTTTATATGGCCAGTTTAATTTATTTGAGGAAGGACTCAGAGCCCATAGCTCAGTGAGTAGGGCACCAGCCACATACACTGAGGCTGGTGGGTTCAAGCCCAGCCTGGGCCTGCTAAACAACAATGACAACTGCAACCAAAAAGTAGCTAGGCCTGTAGTCCCAGCCACTTGGGAAGCTGAGGCTAGAGAATCGGTTAAGCCCAAGAGTTTGAGCTGTGATTCTATGGCACTCTACAAAGGGTGACAAAGTGAGACTCTGTCTCAATAAAAAATATATATATATTTTTATATTTGAGGGAAAAGGTAAACTGACACATCAAACTTTTTTTGCTTTTGTGTTTGAGACAGACTCTCACTTTGTCACCCTTGGTAGAGTCCTGTGGCATCACAGCTTACAGTAACCTCAAACTCCTGGGCTTAAGTGATTCTCTTGCTTCAGCCTCCTAAGTGGCTGGGACTACAGGTGCTGGCCACAATGCACAGCTATTTTTAGAAGTGAGTTCTTGCTCTGGCTCAGGGTAGCCTCAAACCTGTGATCTCAGGTAATCCACCCACCTTGGCTTCCCAAGTGCTGGGATTAAAGGCATCAGCCACCGCAGCCTGCCTAACACATCAAACTTTTAATTTTGTGTCAAATGATGTTAAGATTGATTTAAAGGCACTTTGAGAAAAAATATTAAGCCATTTGCAGTGGAGATGTTTAAAACAATGGCCGAAATAGTAAAGATAATGTGCAAATGGCATAACATTTGAAAGTGCTGGTATGATGACTCATCACAAATTTGAGTCCCACAGAGTTCTTGGTTTCAGTGGTTTAGTTTATATTTCATTGAAATTACATAAATTTATTCCACTTAGAGATACCAGTTTTTATAACCCTTAACCCTTGTTACCTTTCATACCTCTTGGTAGCTGCCAATTACTGAGAGTAGATGGTGTCCTCTGTGAATGCACTGAGCTCAGACAGTAACAAGATGATACCTCACATATGAACAGCAATTTTATGTCCTCATTACAGTGTTACGTTTGGACCAGAAGTTTGTTTTAAAGCGCCAACACAAAACAATTGTTTATCTTATTGTGTAAATTATATCTTTCTAAGAAACCTCTGAATATGTGATTTTTAGAAAATATGAGGTTCTTATGGGATCTGGAGGGGGCATTGGGCACCAAGGTCATCAGGTGAGTCCTTGTCCCTCATTTTTAGGGAGAAAACAGCTCCTTCTGCACAGGAGGGGTGCTCCCCGCATGGCCATCACAGCTGTCTACTCTTAAATTGTTCTTTTCTTCCCCCACTTTATTTGTATAGGCAAGGAAAAAGTCAGGGAAATAGTTGAGTTAGAGAAGCTGTAATTTTGGTTTCCTTGTCCTCTGGGCCTCCTCATTTTCTTTTCTGTTAATATTTTCTAGGAAGTATCCTGCTAAACCTGCTTCATCATCCCCAGGTTCCTTGCAGAATTTCTCTTTAAGCACTTTAATTTTTTATTTTATTTTATTTTATTTTATTTTTTGCAGTTTTTTTTGGCCGAGGCTGGGTTTGAGCCCTCCACCTCCAGTATATGAGGCCGGTGCCTTACTCCTTGAGCCACAGGCACCGCGCTTAAGCACTTTAATTTTTTTCTTTCTTTTCTTTTTTTTTTTTTTTTTTTGGACAGAGCCTCACGCTGTCCCCCTGGGTAGAGTGCTGTGGCATAGCTCACAGCAATCTCCAACTCCTGGACTCAAGCCAGTCTCCTGCCTCTGCCTTCCAGGTAGCTAGGACCACAGGCGCCTGCCACAACGCCTGGCTATTTTTTTTCGGTTGCAGCCATCGTTGTTTGGCAGGCCCGGGCTGGATTCGAACCTGCCACCTTAGGTGTATGTGGCTGGCGCCTTAGCCACTTGAGCCACAGGCGCCGAGCCTTAATTTTTTATTTCTCCCCTTGTTTTTTCTCTATAATTGACAAATTGTTTACCTCAATGAAGTTTCTCAGTATATAGTGTGTACTGTTCTACAAATTTTTTTTAATTTAAATTTCAAAATTAGGGAATTGCTGCAAATGTGAATTTTAACATTTTCTTTATCTGCTTAAGTCTGTGGCCATTATGCCTTCTCTGTTCCTAAAAGACCCCATTATCTCCCGTCAGTGGCTGTTGTACTATTCTGAGTGATCACATGTTGCTGTTTGCCTTGAGACTCTCATTTTCATTATGTCCTTTATTCCTGCCTTTCCTCTTTTTCAATGACCTAAGACACCACAGACTCCTAAGTCATCCCATGTCTTATGGACTCTGGTTATCTACAGCTCAGTTCGGCTGCTTTTTAAAATTCCATCTCCTGCCCATGGCCCTTCTGCCACCCACCTGGCCCCTATCCTTCCACCTCACCCTCTGGAACATAGTGAGGTAGCAGCAGCAGCATCCCCTGTATCCTCAGCCTCTTCCCTGACCATTCCTTCTGCCTTCCACCTACCCTTTTTCCTTTTTGCTATGATAAATCTGGCTTTCTCCTGAGCACAATGATGCTCCTACAAACCTTAACAATTGGTGACTTTTTTCCTCTAATACTTCTGGTAGAGTGGGCCAGGGATGGGATAGGTATCTACCTTGCTCTTCATTGCCCCTTCCAGAAATTCTCCCTTCTCTTCCATACAAACCCCTAGTTGTGAATCCCAGCCATTGGGATTAGACCGTCCACTAATCCCCCTTTTCCTCCTCCCTCATCTACAAACAACAAAGTCTTTCCTGAAGGTTTTGCTTGAAGACTACCTGTTTGGCAGCTCACCTCTGAAGTCCTTGTCATGATTTGGGGGTTTTGTGAGAGAGACGTTGGCTGTAAATCTATGCTGCCCACTAAGAAATTGTATCCTTCTTTCCCTTATGGCTCCCCTATTTATTCCAAACTAAAAACCACATATAAATAAAATTGTATTTGAATCTCTTCTTTAAGCTTGGTATTCTCAAAGCTGTTTTGTTAAGATTTCCTTCAAAGATTCTGAATTATAGTCGAGCCTAATAGGGCTCACAATTTTAAGGAAGGAAAAAAAAATTGAGGTACCTACTACAGTTGAGCCAAACATTGTCCTTGACATTTATCTCCTTTAATTTCCATAACAATTCTGTCGTGTAGGCTCACTTTTATAGTTGGGAACAGAGGCTTTAGGAGATTAAGTACATATTCAAGTTCACACAAGTAAGTGATGAAGTTGATTTTGAATCCAGATCTGACCTTTCTGGCTGTACATCCCACCTTATCAAAGTGACTACTTAACTGGTTTTATAAATTTGTCACTGGCAAGATGTTAAAGAGCTATTGATTTCTTAAATGTAATGGTCATGAGTAAGTAAGGAAATTCATTTTTTAAATCATTTAAGAAGCTGTGATTCTAGGCCCTACTAGCTACAGCACTTTGAATATTCTTTGTTTCAACTGTCAGTGACACAACGCTTTAAAAATCTTACCATTGGGCTCGGCGCCTGTGGCTCAAGTGGCTAAGGCGCCAGCCACATGCACCTAAGGTGGCGAGTTCGAATCCAGCCCGGGCCCACCAAAACAACAATGACGGCTGCAAGCAAGGGATAGCCGGGCGTTGTGGCGAGCACCTGTGGTCCCAGCTACTTGGGAGGCTGAGGCAGAAGACTCGCTTGAGCCCAGGAGTTGGAGGTTGCTGTAAGCTGTGATGCCACAGTACTCTACCCAAGGGGACAGCTTGAGGCTCTGTCTCAAAAAAAAAAAAAAAAATCTTACCATTGGCCTCTTTCTCTTAAACTTGCACTAATAGTTCTAAAATGAAGCCTTGACACTTGAGGTAGAGAGGAAATGAGGTTTTAAGTTAACAATTCAGAACTTTAAAAATCATTCTAAAAATTCTACATGGTCAAATTTAATTGCTCAAGTCTCTGTTGTGTGGTTTGATGACAAGGTATCTTATAATCTTGTGTTTATCTCTACAGTGACCCCGCCATGAAGCAGTTTCTGTTGTATTTGGATGAGTCCAATGCCCTGGGGAAGAAGTTCATAATTCAAGACATTGATGACACTCACGTCTTTGTAGTTGCAGAGTTGGTTAATGTCCTCCAGGAACGAGTGGGTGAATTAATGGACCAAAATGCATTTTCTCTTACCCAGAAGTGAAAATATTAGATATTGACCACTTAGGAATTATAAGCAGCAAATGTGAAAGACTCACCACTCAGTATCTTAATGTGACTGATAAGACTTAGAGGATTGCTTAGGAGCCTGCTATGGGAAAGACTAAGGATCATTTGTCAAGAAAAATGCCTCTTGAGCTGGTTTTGTTGAGCCCTAGAATTTAAAAAAAAGAAAACTTTAACAGTTGACTGTGATTTGGCTTGTTATCCCTTATTAAAATATAAATGTCAATATTTTTCAGCCTTTTTGATATCAATTTAATACATTAAGACTATAATGGAGTATTTATAAATTACCTGTATAATGTAGGTCTTTATTTTGCTTGTTCCTGTTAATGTTTGTGGGGTTTTGTAGTGTGGATGTGGTTGTTTTGTTTCAGTTAGAAACTTAATAAATTCCCTGTTTAGAAGAATATGCCAAGGGTAGGAACTTTGGTAATATTTGTGTCACAGATATCTGCGTACCAGCCAGCTCTGTTGGTGAAGATGTAACTTCCTTTTACTATATGTAGATTGCAGTTGGCATTCTATTGTATTTTGAATATAGTGTTTTTAAAGTGCAGAGGGTTAGAAACAACCAAATGGGAAGGGTAAGTGTGCTGCTTTACATCTTTCGTTTTTCCTTGTTTGAATCTTGTTCGTGGTATTTTCCCATTAGGGCAAATGTTCTTTTATGAAGAAATCAGTTTTGTGCCTTTTCCCTATGATAATCCCTATTAAACTTAAGAAAGAAAGATAGGAGTAGATGGAAGCAAAGTCAGCCTTGCTGGAAGCAACATTAGATTAAAAAACATTGCCTGTAGTTCTATGATTGATTGGAGGTAGAAACAATGACGCTGATGGAGTCTTGGGTCCCCTCCTGAAGATAATGTCATTGATACGGGTCCTGTGAGGGGAATTTTCAAAGAGAAAAGAACTTTGTGATAATTATGTGGAATGTTACCAAATCCTGTTTATCTGCTTCCTTAGGTCTATTTTACTCAACATACTGTGTACCATTTTCACTCACTGATACATGGACTGAATCTGAACATTTCCACAGTTAGGTATATTTATCATGATTCTGACCTAACTCAGTGCACACAATTTCAATTCCTGCATAGCAGTGCAAACAATTTGGATGGGTTACTGGTACATCTGGTGTTAAAACCTGTTAAATAGGCTCGGCACCTGTGGCTCAAGTGGTTAAGGCGCCAGCCACATACACCCAAGGTGGCGGGTTCGAATCCAGCCCAGCCGCCAAACAACAATGACAGCTGCAACCAAAAAATAGCCGGGCGTTGTGGCGGGCGCCTGTGGTCCCAGCTACTTGGGAGGCTGAGGCAGGAGACTCGCTTGAGCCCAGGAGTTGGAGGTTGCTGTGAGCTGTGATGCCACGGCACTCTACCCAGGGGGACAGCTTGAGGCTCCTGTCTCAAAAAAAAAAAAAAAAAAAAAAAAAAACCTGTAAAATAAAAGATGTTTCTTTAGGATTCCCAACTACTTTTAGTTGAGTCTTGTATTTCAGACAGGTCTACATCAATTTTTAGTATGCCTCCGCATTTGTCACCTGATTTGCCCAACTAAAAGTGAACAGGAAATACCCAAGTGACATTTTATTTGGCCTTTATTTCAAAATTTTATTTTTATTGAAGTCCTATATATGCGTATTATGAAAGGAGGTATTAACTTAAAGTTCCCTAACTGCATAAAAGAGTCATATTTTAATCTATGGAAGGTAGCTGACCAGTCAGAGATACCTATGCACTAAAATTGTGGTGTTTAGAGTTTCACTTAATAAGGTTTTGGGGGATATTTTCTTTGAGATAGAGTCTTGCCCTATCACCCGGGCTGAGGTGCAGTGGTCATAAGTCATAGCCTCAAACTTCTGGGTTCAAGTGGTCCTTATACTTCATCCTTTCAAGTAGCTAATGCTATAGGCATGTGCCACTATGCCCACTATGTCTCACTATGTTGCCCAGGCTGGTCTCAAACTCCTGGCCTTAAACAGTCCTCCAGCCTCAGCCTCCCAAAGCACTAGGATTATAGGCATTAAGTTATCACGCCTGTCATTTTTAAAAATACTGTATCAGGTCAAAAAATCTTTATATTCCAACTGTGAAATTTAGTGTGATGATTTTAAAATTCCAGGACTCATTTATGCACATCACAGTTGATAGAAAAGGTATAATGAGAAATTAGTTTTAGTGGACAGTAAGTGAAATTACTGATAGACAACAAAGACTACTGTCCTTTATTTCTGATAGACATTATAGGTAGTAATCACAATTATTAATGATTTCATTTCTCTTAATGTTAGCTATTACAGAGGTGATTTGATCATAATTACACTTTTTCTTTAGAAGTTGGCAAATAAACACATTAAACTTAGCAGAAAAGAAACTGGGAATAAAAAGCTGCTAAAAGTAGAATAATGAATCATTCTATCAATAAACTTAACAGGAACAGTATATTTTAAAGGAGAAATGCCATTTGCAAAGATAATCCTAAGTGTATGTAGCTCTATTTGATTTGCAGTAAAGAACACTGAAAGTTCTATTGATGAGATTATTGAATAAGCTTTTTTGGAGAACTGTTCTCAAGCTAGGCAAGTGGTTAGAGCACTGACTAGATCCACACTGCTTGAGTCCAAATATTGGATCCCAGTGTACTAGTTCTGGGATCTTGGACATGGCAATAAATTTCTATATGCCTCTGGGTCCTCAACTGTGCAAACAGAAATGCCCATCTTCAATGGTTATGAAATTGAGTTCCTTCGAATCTAGGACATAATGAAATAAATTTCAGTGCATGCACACATAAATCTTCCTGCTATCACAATACAGTGTAGGAACAAGCAAATGAAAGAGGAGGGATTTTTTACTTGGTCCCCTGGGTAGAGTGCCATGGCATCATCATAGCACACAGCAACTTCAAACACTTGGCCTCAAGCAATACTCTTGCCTCAGCCTCTCAAGTAGCTGGCATTACAGGTACCAGCCGCAATGCCTGGCTAGTTTTTCAATTTTTTTTTTTTTTTTTTTGAGACAGAGTCTCATTTTATCACCTTTGGTAGAATGCCGTGGCATCATACAGTTCACAGCAACCTTCAGCTCCTGGGCTTAGGCGATTCTCTTGTGTCAGCCTCCCGAGTAGCTGGGACTACAGGCACCCGCCACAATGCCTGGTTATTTTTCTGTTGCAATTTAGCTTGGGCCTGGTTTGAACCCACCACCCTCAGTATATGGGGCTGGCACCGTACCCACTGAATCACAGGCGCCGCCCTAATTTTTCAGTTTTCAGTAGCGACAGGGGTCTCGCTTGTCTCACTTTTGCTCAGGCTGGTTTCAAACTCCTGAGCTCAAGCTATCCACCCGCCTCACCCTTCCAGAATGCTAGGATTACAGGTGTGAGCCACCACCCCCAACTGAAAGAGGAGAGAATTACACTAGAAAAGTGTTGGGATGGATAGTGCAGTAGGGGCCTGCCTGAGCTGCTCATAATCTCAAAACTGACTCTGACTTTATCAGGAAAGGTATCTGGGTAGTTAACATTTCTGAATAAATTCCTATCTTTATTCTCAAATGATTAATCAGTCTTATATAGAATTCTTGGGTCATGATACATTTCCATCAATACTAGGCCCTTTTTTCATTGTCCTCAGACATTTACTGAATCCAGTTTGTACTGTACTCGTTTGAAAACCTTTTTCTGTTTGGGATTGCGGGAGTTTCTCGCACCTCACCTCTCTCAATTCCTTACCCTGCTGTTCTTTTTCTACCTGGCTGCTATTGTTAAGCCCTCCTTCGCTTTCCTTTGGCCCTCTATACTGTTATTAATATTTCTCTAAAATTAAAAAACTTAACCAGAGTGGGCCGGGCGCGGTGGCTCATGCCTGTAATCTTACGACTCTGGGAGGCCAAGGCAGGTCGATCCCTTGAGCTGAAGAGTTTGAGACCAGCCTGAGCAAGAGGAAGACCCCCATGTCTACTAAGAATAGTAAAATTATCCAGGGTGTGATGTCAGGCACCTGTAATCCCAGCTACTCAGGAGGCTGAGGCAGAAGGATCTCTTGAACTCAGGAGTTTGAGGTTGCTGTGAGCCAAGGTGAAGCCATGGCACTCTATCCCAGGCAACAGCAGGACTCTGTCTTAAAAAAAACCAAGAACTTGGCTCGGCGCCTATAGCTCAACCGGCTAAGGCGCCAGCCACATACACCTAAGGTGGC